TTCGACGAATTATATTTGAATGATTCGTGTCGTTAATTGCCAATTGTATGTCGGATAGCTGGGAAATATATAGATGGGCGATTATTTGCCTATATTATACTTCATGTCAAAATGCAAGATTTTGATTGGTTAATACAAGGGAGACAATTTACTCTATTCCATGGCAAATACTTACCCTAATTCACGGAGACGCTTGCTCAAGTGTGCGCTTTAATAAATAGGGATGATTGTTATGTACATAGTTTATTACTTTGAATTTGAAATTTAATAGACAGAAATAACAGAACATTCAGTATAATAAATTAAATAACACATATCTGAGAGGGTGATAGAGCAGATTGTTACCCCTCGAAAAGACATTGTCAACCTTGGCTTCGCCTCAGTTGACAATGTTTTCTCGGGGTAACAATCTGCTCATTCACCCTCTCAGCTATGTGTTATTAATATAATGACATAGATGTATGAGAAGGAATTTTAGAATAAATAGTTTTGTAAACCCCAGTTGGGCGTCTGTACACAGTCCCTCCTTTTAACACACCAAACACGAAAAAATACATTATTTTGATATTTCAAAGCACTCCGTATCTTTTTAGAAAGGTTAAACTTGTTTATGGTTAGATCACTTTCGCCTTTACCATGCAAGTAGTCACTCGGACCCTGTGTCGTCTGTTCTTCATATGAAATCACATGTATAACAATAAACATTGCCTTGTACTAACGCACACAATATGTTTAGTAAATGCAAATTTTGACTAATTTTTTTTTTATGCCCCGCCTTAGCAGAGGGGGCATTACGTTTTACCCTTGTCCGTCTGTACGTCCGTACGTCCCAAAGTTGGTTTCCGTTCTCTAACTTTAGTTTGCCTCTACCAAATATTATGAAACTTATACACAATGCTTATTACCACAAAACACAGATCAAGTATTAACTTTGGTGGCGTCACTTAAACCGTTCTAGAGTTATGCCCCTTTATAAATGGGAAAAATGCCAAATTAATAGTTTCCGTTCTCTAACTTTAGTTTGCCTCAACCAAATGTTATGAAACTTATACACAATGCTTATTATAACATAATACAGCTCAAGTTTGAATTTTGGTGGTGTCACTTTAACAGTTCCAAAGTTATGCCGGTTTACAAATGGAAAAAATGCTGAATTTTTCGTTTCCGTTCTCGTACTTAAGTTTACCTGAACCAAATGTTATGAAACTTATACACAATGCTTATTATCACAAAATACAGATCAAGTTTGAATTTTGGTGGCGTCATTTTACTGTTCTAGAGTTATGCCCTTTTACAAATGGAAAAATTGCTGAATTTTTCGTATCCGTTCTCTAACTTAAGTTTGCCTCAACCAAATGTTATGAAACTTAAACACAATGCTTATTACCACAAAACTCAGATCAATTACAAATTTGGGTAGCGTCACTTTTACCGTTCTTCGGTTATGTCCCTTTAAAACGTTATATGATATGCAAGCGGGGGCATCATTTGTGTCCCATGGACACGTTCCCCATTTATTTCATTTACAAATGAATAATGCCATAGTTGGTTATGAAGGTTTTTTAATGGCCGTAGTATTATTGTAACAGAGAACTAAGCCTCTAGAAATAACGATAATATGATGCTTCCTTGTCGATATTTTGAATGTTAGTTGATAAGTTAGTGGAGCAAAAAAACTCTGTATGGTGTATAAGGGAGGCGTAATATACCAAAATGGGACACCCAAATTTAAAAGTCGAAAACAAACTGAGCCCGTATGGTGACCTATAGTAAGTTGTTAACTTCTATATCATTTGGTCTCTGGTGGAGTATTGTCTCATTGGCAATTATACCACATCTTATTTTTATATTGACAATGCATTGGCAAAAAACGAAAAACGACGAAATGACAATCAACAGTACACAAAACATAACATAGAAAACGAAACTACTGAGCAACACAATTCTCAACAAAAACCGGTGTATGTCATTATGTGTCGAACAAATCTCTGACTGATGTTGTCAAATAAAAGAGTTATATTACTCATCCGATTCTAATGGAAAATAAAAAAAAGGTGTACCGATTATCTTTAGAAATGAAAATAAAAATGTAGATATATAGTATATATATAAAAATTGCGGTTTTTATCCAACGCAATCATAGGTTTGAACGTTGTTTTCAATTTAGACTTGTTTATATTTTTTCGTTTGGGCTTGTATTATATTTGCCTTCGGGTTTATATGATCCGTTCATCCTTTTTTGACTCCTCAAAATTCAAGAGTCTATCCTAAATTGAGGTAAATTGTATGGATTTCCAAATACCGTTTCGATTCCTAACATCACTGAAGAGACATTAATTGTCGAAATCCGGATATGGTGTACAAAAACCTTTGCACCCTTTGTTTGCGGTAAACCATCTTTTCCGCAAGTTTATTATTTTCTGTTTAGTATTAAATTTATAATTAAGATCCATTTATTACATCGGTGATCCGTTTATTTGGCAATCGCCAATGGCAGTTAGCAGGGTTTAAGAACATTTGTTGTTCGACCTGTTAGTCAAATGCGTTTTGTTAAAATATACTTTTTCACTTTTTTGGTCTTTTGGAAAATGTTGTTTGTGCTGTATTTAGACACCTCTAACAAGAAATTTGTTTTGCATGCACAAGTATAAAAATTGCGGTTTTTATCCAACACAATCATAGGTTTAAACGTTGTTTTCAATTTAGACTTGTTTATATTTTCTCGTTTGAGCTTGTATTCAGTATATTTGCCTTCAGGTTTATATGATCCTTTCATCCTATTTTGACTCCTCAAAATTCAAGAGTCTATCCTAAATTGAGGTAAATTGTATGGATTTCCAAATACCGTTTCGATTCCAAACATCACTGAAGAGACATTAATTTTCGAAATCCGGATATGGTGTACAAAAACCTTTGCGCCTTTTGTTTGCGGTATACCATCTTTTCCGCAAGTTTATTGTTTTCTGTTTAGTATTAAATTTATAATTAAGATCCATTTATTACATCGGTGATCCGTTTATTTGGCAATCGCCAATGGCAGTCAGCAGGGTTTAAGAACATTTGTTGTTCGACCTGTTAGTCAAATGCGTTATGTTAAAATATACTTTTTCACTTTTTTGGTCTTTTGGAAAATGTTGTTTGTGCTGTATTTAGACACCTCTAACAAGAAATTTGTTTTGCATGCACAAGTATAAAAATTGCGGTTTTTATCCAACACAATCATAGGTTTAAACGTTGTTTTCAATTTAGACTTGTTTATATTTTCTCGTTTGAGCTTGTATTCAGTATATTTGCCTTCAGGTTTATATGATCCTTTCATCCTATTTTGACTCCTCAAAATTCAAGAGTCTATCCTAAATTGAGGTAAATTGTATGGATTTCCAAATACCGTTTCGATTCCAAACATCACTGAAGAGACATTAATTTTCGAAATCCGGATATGGTGTACAAAAACCTTTGCGCCTTTTGTTTGCGGTATACCATCTTTTCCGCAAGTTTATTGTTTTCTGTTTAGTATTAAATTTATAATTAAGATCCATTTATTACATCGGTGATCCGTTTATTTGGCAATCGCCAATGGCAGTCAGCAGGGTTTAAGAACATTTGTTGTTCGACCTGTTAGTCAAATGCGTTATGTTAAAATATACTTTTTCACTTTTTTGGTCTTTTGGAAAATGTTGTTTGTGCTGTATTTAGACACCTCTAACAAGAAATTTGTTTTGCATGCACAAGTATAAAAATTGCGGTTTTTATCCAACGTAATCATAGGTTTGAACGTTGTTTTCAATTTAGACTTGTTTATATTTTTTCGTTTGGGCTTGTATTATATTTGCCTTCGGGTTTATAAGATCCGTTCATCCTATTTGGACTCCTCAAAATTCAAGAGTCTATCCTAAATTGAAGTAAATTGTATGGATTTCCAAATACCGTTTCGATTCCAAACATCACTGAAGAGACATTAATTGTCGAAATACGGATATGGTGTACAAAAACCTTTGCACCTTTTGTTTGCGGTATACATCTTTTCCGCAAGTTTATTGTTTTCTGTTTAGTATTAAATTTATAATTAAGATCCATTTATTACATCGCTGATCCGTTTATTTGGCAATCGCCAATGGCAGTCAGCAAGGTTTAAGAACATTTGTTGTTCGACCTGTTAGTCAAATGCGTTATGTTAAAATATACTTTTTCACTTTTTTGGTCTTTTGGAAAATGTTGTTTGTGCTGTATTTAGACACCTCTAACAAGAAATTTGTTTTGCATGCACAAGTATAAAAATTGCGGTTTTTATCCAACACAATCATAGGTTTGAACGTTGTTTTCAATTTAGACTTGTTTATATTTTCTCTTTTGGGCTTGTATTATATTTGCCTTCGGGTTTATATGATCCTTTCATCCTATTTTGACTCCTCAAAATTCAAGAGTCTATCCTAAATTGAGGTAAATTGTATGGATTTCCAAATACCGTTTCGATTCCAAACATCACTGAAGAGACATTAATTTTCGAAATCCGGATATGGTGTACAGAAACCTTTGCACCTTTTGTTTGCGGTATACCATCTTTTCCGCAAGTTTATTGTTTTCTGTTTAGTATTAAATTTATAATTAAGATCCATTTATTACATCGGTGATCCGTTTATTTGGCAATCGCCAATGGCAGTCAGCAGGGTTTAAGAACATTTGTTGTTCGACCTGTTAGTCAAATGCGTTATGTTAAAATATACTTTTTCACTTTTTTGGTCTTTTGGAAAATGTTGTTTGTGCTGTATTTAGACACCTCTAACAAGAAATTTGTTTTGCATGCACAAGTATAAAAATTGCGGTTTTTATCCAACGCAATCATAGGTTTGAACGTTGTTTTCAATTTAGACTTGTTTATATAAAACGTGGATTTTATACTCCAAATGTTATCGTTATGTTAAAGGAAATGATACAGCATAAACATCTCTACTTAACTTGATATTTGACATTTAATGAACATTTTTGGTCTTTTCCTGTAGGTAAAAGTTTGGTTTCAAAACAGAAGAATGAAATGGAGGCACATGCAACAAATGAAAGAGAAAGAACTTAGTGATCAAAAGAGAGACAATACCGACAAACATTGTAGTTCAAAAGAGAAACATGGTGACATGGAGTCAGACAGCGAGCAATCAACCTAACGTGAAAAACACTGAGAGAGAATCTCATTCGCTGAAGTGTATTATCGAAGTTATCCATGGAAAAGTCAACATCCGTTGCACAATTTATACAATCAAGCGCTTCCGAGCTGCTACTGAATTGAGGAAGTGTTGGAATGTGTTTGATATTTATATAACGTGATATACAAATTCATATCAATGGATATTATCAGAAGGTTCAAAGCTTTTAATTAACAATAGCTGTAGCCTATAGATTTTAAAACTGTTTTGTACATAAATATTAAATGTTACCTAAATATCTTTACATATTTTTGTCGGACCCTTTGGGCCTTACGTCTTGATGTTCTAGAGGTATGGTTGGAGTTTGCTCATCCATCATCGTTCAGTATGAAGCAACTTTTCTGCACAGATATTTGTCGTGAAAAACATGAGATTTGAAAACAATGGCGAATTTTGTGTACGCCCTCTACGACCCCTGGATCCACCACTGTAATGACCAAGAAAACATTTAAAGTCTACTTTCAGCTTTTAAAATTAGAACAAACCTATTTGTGAATTTATTATGGCTGCAGTAGATGACATGTTGATAATGCAGAAACTTTATTATTATGATTGTCGAGTATCCAATTACATTTCAATTTAAAGTTATGTCTTTATACAAGAATTATTTGGCGTCATGTTACGAATAAACTGCAAAATGCATCTCTCACACGTGTCCTCTGTCACAACGAGTAAAGATCCTTTCACAGAAAATGTGGCACAGTTCTTTATTGTATTACCGGAAACAAGTCTGGTTTTCTTTCCACTGACCGTAACATCAGCTACATATTCTCCGTCAATGTTGATACCAGTTTTGATCATGTACTGACACTGCGTTGTGAACTGATTTGAGTAGGCACAGTTGCCAGTCAGCATGATTTCAGTACCACAAGAATCGTGACGGACAACTACACTGCATTTTGGTTCTGAAAAATAATGCGTATTCAATTCTTTTATTATTTAAAGCGCTACTACTAAGAATTTGATAAAAACCTAATATTTTGAAAACATTGTATTTTATGTTCTACATGTAATGTCCACTTGTGGTTAAAAATACTTCTTTGTTTTAGTGCTTAAATATTTTGTTGGTAGATTGATTGATTGAGAGTTCAGCAAAAAAAACATGTTTTTTAGTAAAATTGCAGAATTTAATATAAAGTCTATTCAAAGCATTTATCCTTTTCGCAACCGAACAAATAGAAAATCTAGGATTGAAATAGTTAAAAGCAACTGATTGTCATCAGAATTAAGTAACATACAACCGTTTACCGAAACATGTGACCAACATTAAGCTCTGTTGTATCTAGTTCAATCTGCTTTGACAGAAAAATTAAATGTCTTTTACTCATGCTACATGTCTTCCAAATAACTTGTATTGCTTAAATTTCATGAACAAAAGTTGTGATAGTAGTATATAAAATGAATTTATTAAAGAATTAATAAGAATATGATTTTCAAATTTATGAAATTATTTTCGTCATGGTATGATGATATCGTCAACTTCATTATAATCAAATAATTCGCCCTATCAGAATCTGACGCATTTCCAAGACGCTGTGATGTGCTAACAATATCATTTACTATATATAATTCAACCAATGACCTGTCATTATCCGTTATATTAAACTTGGATTCCTAAAATAGAAATTTGGTTTATATATTTAGGAATATATACACTATTATTACCAGGATGATTGCAAGACGGAGGTTTTGGTGTTGTAATTTCATCCTCTCCATCATTCTGTTCAATCTCGTCAACAATTCTCTTAGGAGATGGTGCCTGCGTTGTGGGTGTTCTTGTTGGTCTCGGCGTAGGCTCTGTAAAATTATTAACATACATTTGTTTGGGTAAAAGGAGCTACTAGTATATGAAATATAAAATTTAAAAAGTCTTGCAGCAACTAATTTTATGTTATCAGAAAGAAAGAAGTTACATACAACTGTTACCAGAAAACAAAACTAAAATCGATTATGATATTCCCTGTAGAATAATATAGTTAGCACCTTTAAAGAACGATGCTGATGGACTATTTTTGTGGTAGATGATTTTGTTAGCTTAACATTAATCATTTAAATTACACCAATACCGAGGCACTTTCCACTAGGCAGATCGTATCCTTGATGCTGGTAGCGATACCGAAATGGTAGTAAACCGATTACGGTACGCACGACACATGATTATGTACTTCCCATCATCAGCTATTCAGAGAGTTGAGTACAAACGCAAATTTAAACGTTTATACAAAATATATCATTTCAATCATGAAAGCCATACCAAAATATTGGAAACTTGTCATCTAAGCATCTGAGATACCTCGGATTTTTTTGTGGGGTTCGTGTTGCTCAGATTTCAGTTTTTTATTGAGTCTATTGTAAATAGTTCGTTTTTTGCAACGATTTTGTCAGTCTCTCTTCGACTTATAAGCTTTAATTCTGCCTTTTTGTGTTTTCGCATCCTTTTTTGTCTTCCTTGAGTCATATATAAAAATATTCATTCTCAAATATTCAAACACTCCGAAAGCCACATATTCTAAGATCTGTATTAGAAATACAAAATAAATACTATGTTGTCCTTGCTACATTTGTGGAATATAAAGGTCCCAACTTACTTCTGCATTGTCGAATACCATCTCCTTCAAACCCTTCTGCACAAACACATTTACGGATTCCTTTCTCAAGTCCACACATTCCATTCGGATGGCACTTCATGTTAACTGAAGATGTAACGAATATGGATTCACCGTTTCTTGATGCACATTGTGTTCTTCTAGTACAGTCTTTAGACACGAGTATAGTGTTCAGCTAAAAGAATATATATTTATAATACTTATATTGAATGTTCAATATCTGCATACAGATCAGAATGCGTAGTATTTTTAGCCACTTGTCTTCAAAGGTTTGCTTGTACCAAGTGACGAATGTTTCATGCATATTCAGGACGAAAACATATTAACAATTAATATATATACCACAATAGGCAGGTTTTGCAAGGTAGGTCGACCGTAATGAAGGACGGGAAATTAGAGTGCTACTGGGAAATGTGGGTATGGTGGAAATGGAAAAAAGTTACAGTGTTACAGACCACGTACGGACCCCTCAGATAGCTGTTCCCAAACGAGTTTCTTAGTCCGTTTTATAAAAAGAAAATGTTTATAGAATTTCTATAAAGCCCAGTTTATGGAACATATGTAAACCAATTATATATATAGGCAGTACAAACTCGTACACGCGTATCTTGAGTACAGAAAACCGAAAGTACAGATAATGAACATGCAATGGTATATTCAAACGCGGTGTAAAATGAAATAAGAAATAATGTTTACATTGCAAAAGTAATAATCTCTTGCACACTTCAAGTCTTATAATATTTTCATTTATTTTCATTCTGATAATAACTATTAAACATAATCTTTTTTTAAAATGGAAAATTATAACACAGTACTCTAGGCAACAAAACAGACTAGTAAATGGTGTGAGTTTTGCTCATTACTGAAGGCCGAACGATGACATGTAATTGCACAAATCTTTGTCATTTGGTCTATGTATAGTTGTATCTTTGTTATTATACCACATATCCTTATTTCATCATTACTAATTTTAGTTATGCCGTGAAACCTTAGAAAGTTACGGTTCTAAATATTGATAGTTTAAACATATAGTGTTGAAAATAAATCTCGAAAACAACGGAGTATTGGTATACCAAGGTCACATATAAGCGAAATTTTCGAAGCTTACCGGGAAATAATTTCCGTTTCTGATGCATCCACATTCCTTTTGAGGTACACACTTTTTGTCACTCAGTAGATAGCCAGGTATACACTCACATCCTTCAGCCGGTTCATCCTTACATTTATTTGGAGCCTTTGGATCTACACACGTTGCTGGACAACCACTAGCAGCGTCACTATATCTCATATTTTCCTTACATTTAATTGCTGTAAGAATTTAGTGCATTTATACTGAATCTAGGTTCAAACGTAATTGATACTAAACGAGCAGTCCTTTCGCCATAAAATATTTCAATTCATTCATTTTAATAAATATAGCTTCCGTTATTTATATTAAGACATACTGTTGTAAGCGTTAGAAATATAACATTATTTGTGATAATATCCAAAATAAGGGAAAAGAGAACAAGTCAGAAACCAAAAGATTACCAGAGATTACAAGTCAAGAGAGGACGGATGTGTCTCCAAAATGCTTGCCCAACTGGAACTACAAGATCTCCAGACAAGACGAACAAGCCAGAAGTTAATATTTATGTACAAAGTGGTTGAGGGACTGGTTCCCGCTATTGAACCAGACGAATTCCTCAAAAAAGCACGTCCGAAGAGAACCATAACTGCCAAGAAATTCGAAGAATACCACGCAACAAATATTGTGGAAAAGCAAGTATAAAATCACTCTAAGTCTTTTGACATTCCACCAAGCAAAACACCACAATATTCAAACTTATTTTTTGTAAAGACAGTGATCGCGTGGAATCAGCTAGACGACACTGTAGTGCGCGCATCAAGCGTAGAGAGCTTCAAATCTGCTCTCACGCCCCGTCAATAAATCGACGGCGCTCTCTCAAACCGTTGTATTAAAGCCAGTATTGGTATCGACAACGTATTCATACAGATACAGACAGATACAGAGATACAAAACCACCCACGTAATTTGAAGAAAGAAAAGAAAAACAATACGTTAGACAGAAAACTGATTTGTGTTCGTCCTGCACATGTTTTAATTCTTTTATATCTAAATTTCCCAATCAGGACAACAATGTAAGTAAATGATTAAACCAATTTACTGGTTCGAACAATTAATCTTTTATATCCTCTAAATACTCTTTTGAACTAGGTGTAGCATTTTAAAAGTAATTCTTTTTCTAAGTGTCGAAATGAGAGGCAAAAATATCAAATATAATCACCTGTTCTTTGCTAATATACAAACCTTAAAATTATCTTATAGGTGTTTTTAATTCCTAAAGCTTTTTTTATTTTTTGTTGCTGAACCTGCTTCACTTTTGAAGAAAAAAAAATGGAAAACCTTTTTCTATTATACCATTAAATACTTTACATACGACAAAGGTCAGGTCTCCTCCATTTGATTGTGAAACCATGTGTTAGGCATTCTTCAGCAAACGCATTAAGGTTCATACAAACTACTTGGTTTAGTTTATCTGCGTTTTTGGAATATGCACAACCGTCCATAACACATGATTCCAAATATTCTTTGGCTGTAGTCGCTAGCTTTTGTATACACTCTTTAAACGG